CCCGCCAATGAGATCCGCGTCCCCTCAGCGGCGGGAGACGCGCGTGCCTCCCCCCCCACAATGAGATCCACGTCCCTTCAGCGGCGGGAAGCGCGCGTGCCGTCCCCTCAGCGGTGGGAGACGCGCGTGCCTCCCCTCCCTCAATGAGATCCACGTCCCCTCAGCGGCGGAAGGCGCGCGTGCCGTCCCCTCAGCGGCGGGAGGCGCGCGAGCCCCCCCCTCCCTCAGTTCCACTCGCGTCCCCTCAGAGGCGGGCGGGCGGTCCCACGGAGCGCGGCGAGGCACGGCCCTGCGGAGCTGCTCTCGGGTGGGTCTTTGGTCGTCTCCTCTCGGGGAAACCGGTGAGATAACGAGCTTCCCCTCGCTGCTTTCTCGCCATCGGTCAAACGGTGTCCCCCACCGGGGTTTTTCTTTCGTGTTTTCTCTTTTTTTTTTTTTTTCTTTAATTCCCCCCGCCCGCACAGCTCCTGCGCGGTGGTGGTGGGTCCGTGTCGGGAGGCGTCCAGGGCTTACTTCATCCCGTCGAAATGAGAGTCAGTCGCTCTTGGGGCACTTGTGGTGATGCACGGTGGTGCCTGGTTCGTGCTGCCGGCTCACTCAGCTCATTGCTTTTATGGCAGGAAAGTTTCTGCGTGGATGAGATGCACTTGAAAGTTAATTTTTGAGCAGTGTAAAGGACAGTGTTTAACTTGTAAAGGAAGAATGGCTTTTCCCCTCTTACTCTTTTGGTGCTGTCGATTGACTGTCAGTCTTGGTCAAATGTAAGCCAGAGCCTGCCTTACTCTCACTTGGTAACATAGTTCTTTGTTGGCTCTTAGAGTAGACACTCTGAATAAGCCTTTTGGACAGGCCTCATCTTCACTGCAGTTAGCCTGGGCTATACTGTGTGGGCTTTCCCTCCGACTCTGGCTGTTTTAGACACAGACTTTCTGGCCCCATCTTAAAGTAAAAGATAATCTTGTACTGCTTGGACACTGTTAAAAGGTTTATTGTGCTCATAGGCCAGTAGTAGAGTGAATTCTGGGATCACACCCTGGGACTTCCAATTGTCTGTCTGCCTGTCTAGCGTGAACCTGTTCTCAGCTACTCCTGGGGAGGGAATTGGGGAGCTGCTGTATTAGTTTATTTCTCTTAGCACTGGAAAACCTGGATGCATCAGGTAAGACTCCAGCAGGTGCTGGAGACGATAGATTTTGTGAATATAACTTGAATAAGTCTGCTCTGGAGTATTTGAGGTACGCATGGTGCCTCAGTCGCTGGAGTTGTGTTTTGTGGTTATTCTGCTATTGCCAATCATATGTGGGTATGATATTAGCATGAAATGGTTTATTCTTGCCTTCCTGATAGCTTATGAAATAACTATGCTACTGTCAGTTACACTAGTAGAGATGCAGCTGTATCGAGCTATCTTAGGTGGTTAAAATTACTTTTAATGGGAATGTTGAAATACGCGGATTTTTTCATAAATAGCTTTGAAGTCAGATGGGAAAAGCGTTAGCTGAAAAATAACATGCCTACAGCAGTGATGTAGGGAGAGTGGGTTCAACAGAAAGCTTTTAACTGTCCTTGTGTTCAATAAATAATGTTTAATGCCAGCTAATATCTTACTCTTGTTTTTAGCTATGCCTGTCTTGTCCTTGGTGATGGAAAAATATTTTAGCTTTTCTTTTCTGAACCTACCTTTTACTTAGAACTAATGTTACCTTGCTCTCTTTCTGCTTCCCGCTTGTCAGGATTTGGTGGGCTTGAAACTACAAACTCCACTGCCAGTGGGTTTAATTTTGGGGGTTTCGGATTAACTGCTAATCCTGCAGTGAATTTTAATATTGGGAATTTCGGTGTTTCCACTACCTCAACTCCGCCATTCAATTTTGGTAACAGTCTGGCAAGTGCAGGTAGATAATGCATAAATACTTGTTCTGTAATAAATGTTAATAGCAGGGGTCCAAGAATTACATTCCTAACTGAGAATCTGTGCTTACTACTAATCTTCATATCCAGTGAAGACTGGAAATAAAAGCCCTGAAAGTGGAATGGGTTTGAGAGCCATAGGCTTGTAGGATTTTTTGCCTATTAAATTCTCAAGAAATAGCTGTTGAGGAAAAATAGGCACATACCAAATAGTCTCTGAAATGGAAATGAATAGTGGTAACCTACCAGTCTGACCCAGTCAAAAATTAAGCCTCAATTACCTAGCAAAACGGCAACATCAATTCTCCGTTCAGATCCAAGCAATCATGACCAATTGCAGAGCTGGTCCCTAACACCACGTTTCTTGACATCAGATTCTTGGACTACTGCAGTCATGTTTTTCATCTTCCCCTGTGTCTCCTCATTGGCCTTCCATTGGCTGTCATGAATGCACTACACCTCAGTAGTTTCTGTGGAGAAACAACTTTTATACGATCAGCAGAAAATGAACAGCCCTCGCTGTGATCTCTGTTTCCTGAATGCCTTTCTGCACCCTGAAGCAGCACGCATCCCAGGCTCTCGTTAAGAGATTCACTGTTCTTCTGGGAGGGTCTTGTGCGTGATATGTGTGCTGGATATTAATTAAGAAAACCATTCATGGCCCCATGTAGGTCCAACAATTCCGAGGGATCAGCTGATACAATTTCAAGTTAAATCTTCTCTATTTTGTATAAAAATGCTTAACTGTATGGATTTCTAATGCTTTTACGCATGTAGAATTAGCCTGTGGGGTCTTGTTGCCGCTGCTCGTATAGGAATTATATTCATTCCACAATGTCATTGCTCCCTGTGTTAGCGTTTTCTTACCTGTTTTGTGCACTTGAGGATCCTGGTTTTATTTGGCATGAACACTATTGGACTGTATTTCTGTGGCAGAATTTGAACTACTGCAGAAGAGACCTTGGATACTTAATTTCGTTTAGCAATTTGCACTCAGATCCAGATGACTAAATTGCCATGAGTACGAAACTACCTAAAAATTGTGTCATCTGATGGTAGTCTTGCTAGAGTTTCTCACTTGCTGGTAGGACTGAAACTTGAATATTGTAGAGGACAATGTGTTGCATCTGCTCGCATTAAGGTGTTTACTGAATGAAAATAAAATGCAATTGCATGTCAGCTGTGGTTTAAGCTTTTTATTTTGTATTTATACTAGAGGACATTAAGCGTAGTAGGTCTGAAGCGACTTTTTTTTCTGCTATTGACATGTGAGTCAGCAGTGGCAGCATCTGTTTGACAAATCCTTTGTAGCAGACTGTTTTTCTGCATTTGAATGCATGTAAAAACAGTATGTAAGGGAGAAAACTCCAGGGCTAGTCAGATGTCCATAGGTTGCACTTTGGGCCAATGGTGCATTGGCACCACCATAGCAAAGAGATGATGGGGTGGCATCCAGTACCTGTGCAGCCTCACGCGCTGGAGGCTGTCCAGGCTGGTAGCTGCCCTGTGTCAGGACACCTCTTTTAGGGGGGGCAAATGGGAAGATGGGTTTTTGGGGGTTTCTCTGGCATACTAGAGCTCAGGCCCTCATTTAGGTCTCCTCCTGCTAGCCAGTGACTGGTCTTCCCCAAAATCCTGAAAGGCTGATTGCTTTTGTATTTGTCTTCCTCTGATAGTGGTTGAACCTCAAAATGAGATTTTATGGGGAGGATGATAGGCAAACTAAGCTTAAAAATAACAACCAACCAACCAAACAAACAAAAAAAAAACACCAACAAAACCAAAACCTCATAGAATTTTACCTGTGTGTAGAAAGAAATTGTTGCTGTGTCAGCATTCCCATGTAGGCACAGCAATTTTGTGCACCCTAGCCTTTGGCTTTACTCGATATGTTTCTATTTTTGCTCTTAAGAGGTTAGGAATATTTAAAAAGCTCACAAAACATCAGATCATTTATTAAACACTTACCACCAACGTTGACTAGAAGTGTTCCTGAGTATGAACCTAAGAAATACTATGATTAGTTGTGTCTGTCACTAAGGAAAGTGTGTCCTGCTGGTAGAGGAACAGGGTGTTAGTTAACGGCTGCTTTTCATTTTTTGCTTTCTTGGCACACCATGGATGTATTGGCTTTCTGGTTCATGTTTTCTCCCCCCATTTCCTTGGACGATGAACTCAATACCCATGATCGATGTGAACTACATGCTCGTAACATAATGTATCCATCTGTCAACATCTCTTCTCATAACACCCCTTGAAGTGTGCAGTTTATTGCTGTGTTACGCACAGCTGCCACTCACAACATGCTGTCAGCTTTACTTGTAAACTTTGTTTGTTAGGTGCGTTTGGAGGATTTGGGACAACTACCACCACTGCGGCACCAGCATTCAGTTTTTCTGCTCCCACCAATACAGGCACCAGCGGTAAGAGAGCACCAGCCTGAAAGTATTTGCCCTTCACAATAATGTTTTGCATTTCACAGGTACTGTTCTCCTCTTTTTCTCAATAATTCTTTGCTTATTTCCCCAGGGCTTTTTGGTGCTACCCAGAACAAGGGCTTTGGATTTGGTACTAGTTTTGGCACAGGAACTGGAACTGGCTTGGGTAGTGGGTTGGGAACTGGGCTAGGCTTTGGAGGCTTTGGTACCCAGCAGCAACAGACCAGTAAGTATCTCTTTCTCTTCATTTATGCAATGAAAGCATAAGACTGCAACAGGCCCACAAGTAGTGGGACAGAAGTATGTTATAAAAGGAGGCTGTTACACTTATCTCTTGATTAGTAGAAAATTCTCAGAAATTTGCTTTTTGAACTGGCTATGTTTGCAGCTCTTGCCTTTCTCTTAAACTAGAGCTCAAGCAAGTTTCTGGGCTTCACCCCTGAGTTTCCGACAATATTCACCCTTTGGTTTGGCAGTGGTAGGAAGAGTAGTTATGGAATAGATGTTGGCAGTCATGGCATTATTAGAAGGGGGAGAAAAACAGTGTTGAGTTTAGTTTAAATGTGAGTTGGATAATGACCAGCTGCAGGCTCTGAATCTGCTGAATTTATAATAACAAATGTACCCTTCAGATTTAGATACTGAAGGGGCCAGATGATGTTGTGGGTGAATATAGACGTCTTACTTAAAGAAAAAAGATTAAATCTTCTCCTCTAAATCAGCATTCAGGAACTTCTGTTGCTGATGAAGATTGGATTTAAAAGGACACCTTTAAAAAACATATGATATTGATTTATTTTTTCTGTGCATTTATTTTGCTTCTCAAAATGTGAAAAAACATGATACCAGTGATACACAGATGGAACATTCTAGCAAGTGAGTCGGTCTTGGTTGGTAAAGGAGTTAATTTGTTTTCTTCATCCAATACAGCATTAGGAAGCGGCTTGTTCAGCCAGCCTGCTCAGACGCCTGCCCAGTCGAACCAGCTCATCAATACAGCCAGTGCCCTCTCAGCTCCAACACTCTTAGGAGATGAGAGAGATGCTATTTTGGCAAAATGGAACCAGCTTCAGGCCTTCTGGGGCACAGGCAAAGGGTACTTCAACAATAACATTGCTCCAGTGGAGTTCACGCAGGAAAACCCCTTTTGCAGGTTTAAGGTATGGAATTGTTCAGCTGCCCACAAACAGTTCTGAAGCAGTTACTCTGCTGGCTGAGTGTCTCATGAGTGGTAAATCAGATTTTGTTCCTGTTAATAGTATTCCAAAACAGTAATTTTCCAGGTAGTGTACACAGTTCTGATGTATGCTAATTAAAAGGTCTGAGGATGCTGGAAATCTGGATGTAGTTGAGGTACTAGATACTGAGTGCTTATGTGAATCATGAAACTAACCTTTTTCTATTATAGCATTCAGATTAGCGTGTGTGTGGTTGGAGCAGATCTCTGGAAATGAATTTCAATGTATACTTGTGTAGGTTACAGTATCAGAGAAACTAAATAATCATCCCATCTGAAAAAAATGTTAACATCAGGAATAAGAACTTCAGGGTCTTTCTTCATTGTTTTGCCTACGCTAGAAAAACCCTCTGTGAGCCGTGCATACCATTATAAATACACTGGCCTTCAGCTGCCTTCTGCCTTTATCCTTGCCAGTGCTAAAGCTGACTCCATTACTTGTATGATATCGTCAGCAGTTCCAGATCTTCCTTCTCATGTCAACAAAGAATATGTAGCTCTTCATCCTCTGCAAATCTCGTGCCTGCTGACTTTCATGCTAAGCTTCAGACTTGAAAGTGGATTTGGGTCAGGCTCGGTGATACCCTCCTTTCCCAGGCTGATTCTTTGAAGTGCAAACTTTCTAACCTGAATGTAGGTTAATACCTAATTAAGGCTAGTTTTTATTATGCACATCATGACACTTTTATGAAATCTTTGCAGCGACTGTGTAACAAATGTTTGGCTTCTGTCGTATTACCATTTTATGTGTTACTTTGAATATTTTGTTGATAATGTACCTGAAAGCTTTCTTGTAAGTTATTTCCTGAAATGGCTTTAGAGCTTTTTGGGCTTTGAAAAATTGCAAAATATAAGTTGTGTGATGCAAAATTGCTTATTGTAGAGCTTCATTTACCAAAAGAAGACGTTTTCGTTTCAGGTTAGACAATGCCACATGCTAGGTTTACCTTTGTCTCTATGACTTGAGTATTACTAATGCCATTATGAATTCAAGTAACTTAATTGAAATACTGAAAAGTTCAATGTATGCCAGCAATGGCAGAAGCCTAAGAAAAACAGTGGAGAAGTTGGTGACTCAGGTATGGGAACAAAGTGTCATAAGCTAGTTTGGATAATTGCCTCTGTAAGCATCAGACGTCTATTAAGAATGAAGCATTACCTGAAGGGTTTCACAGGTGTTCAAGGAGTCCACTTGAACACAATTCCAGCTCTAGAACAAATGAGAAGCATGCAGAACCAAGAAAAGTGTGCTTCTAAAGTATGTGATACAGGCTGTTGTTTGAAGGACCACAATGGAGTAAAACATCTGTTACAGTTTGAAAATAATTAGTTGCATAAAGAAATTGTGAAAGATTTATTTACTTATTTTAAACAGAAGTACCAGAGGAGTCGTGTATGTGTGGTCTTAGTACTACTTTGCACATAATGAGATTTAGTCTTCCGTGTACTGGCAAGTCTTACCCAACAGTGTGGGCGTCTTTCACAGCTATGAAAGTGAAAGGGACGTGCTTAAAACTAAATTCTTCCTTAGTTGCCACTGTTGTGCTCTGTGACAGGATGGCCCAATCACAGAAGGCTGATTCTGCAAGGCTCACCATTGCAGGGAATTACCCTCTGCTGACAAAGACCAGGCTCTTGGGCACACCCCCCAACCCATTTCTCTCTTCAGCTGAACTCACACAAGGGAAGGCTGTTACTTACACAGATGGCATCAAGTGTTCCTGTGTTAGATTATGATGTTGAATTAAACATCTAACCTTACTACAGCTTTATCACAGCAAGGATAAAGATTAACATTAAATTTTATAAGCAGTTGTACAAAGAAACCTTGACATTTGGTAACATGAGGAAAATTGGCTGTCGCGATTTCTCGTGTGGAGAGCCTTACTTGATTCCTGTCTTAGCTAGTAGAAATATTCTATGTCCATGTTTCGGCTTATACTGCCAGGCAAACTGTCTGGATCTACAGTAGGAAAATGCTAAGAAACCCATAAAGATTTATGGTTGCCTTATCTTTTAACTAAGTTATGTCACTAACTGTTTTTCATTCAGACATCTGGAAATGTAATGTTGTAAAACTCTTCTGGAACTCTAGTAATGTTTCATGCTTCATGCCACATAGATATGCCTTTGCTAAGTAATAGATCCCTGGTTTTTGTTCATTCATTTGCAGGCTGTGGGTTACAGTTTAATGCCCAACAACAAAGATGAAGATGGCCTCGTGGTCTTGGTCTTCAACAGAAAAGAAACAGAGATACGAAGCCAGCAGCAGCAGCTTGTAGAATCACTACACAAAATTCTGGGAGGAAACCAGACCCTCACTGTCAACGTAGAAGGTGTTAAAACAATGCCAGACGACCAGTATGTGAACTTTACACAGTTTTGTGTTTTTATCTGGTACTGCATGTTATAAAGGGTTGGCACTTAGTCCACTCTGTCTTCCTTTCTCCTTGTTTTTAGATCTGTTCATCCTGAGTTTGATTTCCTGTCTTTTATTCCTTCACGTTGCTTTTTCTTAAGGCATTAAGTCCTGTATTTTTCCTGTGTACATTAGTTGCTTTTGTGGGAGTGCACAGCTGAGGACCTCAGCTCAGGAAATAGGCTTTTCCAGACCCTGCTCAGCACCAAAAACTGGACATGAGGATGCAAACCATGAGGGTGGGATAAATACTGTGAGGTATTCTTCACTTGTTTGGAGGCCTCAGCCTAGTCTGCCTGAAGTACTTTGGCACACTGACATTTCTGTTTCTTGCTCTCTCACAGTTTCTTCATTCTGTTTTAAAGACCAAAGGTTCTAGGTTTTTCTTAATGTAGTACTAGCATCACCATATAATATGGTTGTTAAAACTGGCAGGGGGGAGAATGTAATTTTGTAGGGAATTTACAGCTCTTCTCATTCTTCCTTGCTGTGTTAAACCCTGCATTTACTGGTACTTTATACCTCAGTTAGCTAAAGGAAGTTAAGTCAGCTGGGAGAAGTGGTAACTTTGATTTGGGGTTGTTTATCGTGTTAGTTTCTATACCCTGCTGACCTTTTTCTGACAGTATGCCTCTTGTCGCGTGCAGGACAGAAGTGATCATTTACGTTGTTGAGCGCTCACCCAACGGCACGTCAAGGAGAGTTCCTGCAACAACCCTCTACGCCCACTTTGAACAAGCCAACATAAAATCATCCCTGCAGCAGCTGGGGGTCAGCCTCTCCATGGCCAGAACAGAGCTGTCCCCGGCACAAGTCAAACAGCTCCTCCAGAACCCTCCTGCTGGTATGTGGTCTGGGGCTGCACAGGGTCACAGTTGGGCCTCTGCTGGGGCTTTTTTGGGTCTCTGGGAAAAATGCAGGTGTCGGCCCACTGGAAAACACCTTTTAAAACTACAAGAGTTTCCAGGGCACCCTGACATACTGATGTAGTGGATTTAATTACAGCTAGTTTCCCCACTGAAGTGCAATGTATTCCACCAAGACAGTTACGATGTATCTTCTATGATTATTAGTAATATGTCACACAACATCATACTACGTGATTTAGTCATCATATATCACTACAACTTGTCTAATTAAAAAAAAAAGTAAAATATCAGAATAATCACGTCCTATATTCACTTCCTAATTTTGGGGGAGTCACTTAGCCTGTATATGAGTCCACAGATAGGATGTATACAGCTTTGTTTTGGAGTAGTTCGGTGCTGTTCATGCCATTTCATAGGATAATTGTACCTTATTCTCTAAGTCTATACAGGATCACATGTAGTACTTGCAGTGAACTCCCTGCAGTGGGTTGAAAGCAGTCTCTCGTTTCCAGCAGACACAATGTAGTGTGTTCAGTAAGACCATAGTGTTTAAAAATATAGTAATGATATCTGGATTGCAAAAAGAACTCAGCCTACTCTTGCAGAAAAATCAGAGACAAGCAGCAGTGTTTTCCAGCTGCATTGGGGAGAAGTAGTTGCTCTGTGCATAAGCACATTGGCTTTCTTTAATATTGGAGGTGTATCATAAGGCCTATGTAACAGTGGTTGGGTGCAGCTTGACTAAGAAGGAAGCCAGGTTTGCAGGCTGGCTAACCAAGCAGTAAGATGTGCAAGAAGAGGTATTGGTGCTGAGCTCTAGAGAAGCAATCACACCTCAAGAGATGAATTTTGGTATAAAAATAGTAAGTTTTATGAGGAATGACCTGGAGTGTTGTGCGATGAAGAATATTGTTATACCTGACTGTTCTGGTCTCCTCTTTAAGCTGTCCTGAAATTGTTAAATCACCAGCGCTTTTTTTCCCCTTTTTTGCATGTCTCTCTCTGGTCAGAAAGTCAATTGTTTCCCTATCAGTGTTGTCTTGGTTTTTTCCTAACATACCTAGGTATGTGCATTTTATACACTGATCTGATTTCCAGTAAAGTTTGGAGAATGTAATAACTTGTATCATGTTGCTAAAGTACGTGTACAATTATGGTGCTTTTATTTTACGTATTTACCTGTTGAAACAGGTCATGGCAAAACAAGCAACTGTTCTGTCAACAGATAAAATCCTTAGACTAATCCTGTTAGCAACCACAGTAATTCCTACTGAGATTATTTTGCAAACTTTTGGTACTTTGATCACTTAATTACTGATTTTTTTTAATTTATTCTTTTTTTTAATAAGCAACTTAAAGAGGAAAGATCACCCAAGTGTAGCATACAGTAGAAAAGATGGGAATTTTTCCCTTTTAAGTATGGATTGTCCAATTTGATCAGCTGTGAGTTGTTCCTTTCAAACCAGTGGAAATGCTTTACAGCCTTTGGGACTGAATTTACTGCCAGAGCCCAGAAACAAAACTTTTAAGAACTACCTTTGTTTAATGAACCTAAATTTATATAACAGTTGTTCATGCTGGCATAGTTCAGAGGTCTACATTTCCTAGCATTTTTCCTGCTTAGCAGCTGTAAGATATGATATTTATTCAGATCTATCCATACTAACAACTTGTTTGTTTGGTTTTTTTTAAGGTGTTGATCCTATTATATGGGAACAAGCCAAAGTTGACAATCCTGATCCTGACAAGTAAGTCTAGTAGTCTGTCTGAGTATTACAAAAAGACTTGGAAAGGGGAGAAATATAATATTGTGTAGTACCCTTCAGGTTACTTGTAAAAAAAACTTAGTAGAGAATAAATTTGTCAAGTGCCGATCTCATTTGAAGCAGCGAGGATTACTAGAAATGCCTGTCTAATCCCTTTACCCATTTAGGTGCTTAAGGGTTGTCAGGATAAAGAGCCTTACTTGCATCACTTCTAGTCGTGGTGTCCTCCGTTATATGGACTAGCTATTGTGACTACTTGTTTGTTTGTTTGCAACCATTATGCTTTTTTTCTTTATTCCTGAAGCTGAAAGTGATGTACCCTTGTACCCTCCAGTGGTTACAGTTAACTTGGGCTGGTTTCTTTATGAAAAAGGAATAGGTTGTTAGGAATAGTGAGGACTGTAGAACTTAGCAAACAAGATATGCTTATGTATTATCCTAATTTAGAATAGGTCAAGATCATCTGTAACTTTAGACTATATTCATAATTATTAATTCATACCATGTGTCTAATATAAAAATGTGTCATAAGAAATATTTATGTTCTTGTAGGCTTATTCCTGTGCCAATGGTGGGTTTCAAGGAACTGTTGAGAAGACTGAAGGTCCAAGATCAGATGACCAAACAGCATCAAACTCGATTAGATGTAAGGTTTCTTATCTTCATCATGACTGCTTTCTGTTGATAAGGGATATGCTATTAAATGAGCCTCCCCCGGTGCCTCCTGTGTGTAGAAAACTAAAATCAGAACTATGTGCGTGGGGCTGTGACTCTTTATCACTATTTCTTAATATAGTCCTTGGTTATATTTTTTTGACCAAAACCCAAGCAGAGGTTCAAGCTTGTAGTGTTGTTACAGGCTAATTCAAACCAGCTGGAATAAGTTGCATTGGTACTGACTCTAATTTGGGCACCCAGTTTTCCGATGCCTTCTGAAAATCCTGGTTGCGTATGAAAATAAATAGAAACCAGAACAGTAGGGGTCTAGCAAAAAGCTTTCTGAAATGAAAACGTATTTGGTGAGGATGCTAAGTTGCTGGACTGAGACTCCTGGTTTCAAATTAGGACTAATGTGTTCTGTTGTTAGAAACTCTTATGGCTTCCAGCTGACTCCATCTCCTCCTCTGCAGATAATATCAGAAGATATCAGCGAGCTGCAGAAAAACCAAACAACAACTATGGCAAAAATTGCACAGTACAAAAGGAAGCTGATGGCGCTTTCTCACAGAACATTACAGGTAACCCAGATAGTCTAAATAACTCATTCTGACACACAATCTTGTACCAGAAAACAAACTGAGGGGGCAGGATGACCTGTGCAGTCTTGTGCATGGCACATGTTGAAAATGAAATTCTTATTTCATCTAAATGGTATTGCTTCAAGTAACAGGCAGAGCTGTAACAGAAAGCATCATGTGCACAGTTTGTCTTACTGCTTTGGGAACCTACTCTCTCACTTACTCAGAAGCTGTGGGACTGCCCTGAGGTCTCAGAGCAGCAGACTAAGCAACAGAACAAATCTGCTGAGAGATGTGCTGGAGGAAGGGCAAAAATACATGTGGATGGGCCAGTGGGGAAAGAGGTGGGCAAAGTCTTCTCTAATGAACCTCAAAGGCTTCTTTTGTAGGTGTTAATAAAGCAGGAGATCCAAAGGAAAAGCGGTTACGCCATTCAAGCAGATGAAGAGCAGCTTCGTGTACAGTTAGATACAATTCAATGTGAACTTAATGCACCTACACAGTTCAAGGTGAGTAGTTAATAGAAATTTGCCAACCGTTGTTTTTTCCTCACAAAAGAATCTAAGCTTTGCAAATTGTGCATATATACTTGTTGTGGAAAGCTTTCACAAGAGAAGTCTGGTAGTGTTACAAGGTTGTATCATCAAGTTCTTTGCTGCATGACTGAGAGGTATTTAAGTATTTTTTTGAGTTCTTAAAAGTATTGAAGTTGCTTGCTTTTTGCCTGTCTTTAAAAAAAAAAAAAAGTTTAAAATGGAATGGCAATGCTTCCTGCCTTGGTGACTTAAGGAGTGGTACGTCCTGGAGCTCTGACAGATGTAAATGAGTTGTGTTTGATTTAAGCCTGTTTCTTTTCTCAGGGCAGACTGAATGAGCTCATGTCCCAAATCAGGATGCAAAACCACTTTGGAGCAGTGCGGGCTGAAGAGCGCTATTACATAGATGCAGACCTCTTAAGGGAAATCAAGCAAGTAAGTATTACTGGGTAGAATCCTGGGATACTCTTTAAACTTCATAATTTAAGCCAGCTATGCATAACTTGGGAGATGTATCTAGAATGTAATGTTTTTGTAATTGTTTGATGGTTAAGTCATTTTTATTGTTCTCGGTGACAGTGCAGCAAGGTGTTGTACAAAGCCACTCTATGCAGTTAGGCTATTAGTGCAGAAAATACTTTTTTCCTTCTTCCAAAGAAATTATGCCAGGCTTTTCTATGTGCCCTGGCCACCAGATACAACACCTTTGAGAAATGTTACTTAGAATCTATGAAGCTGAGCTATGCTCATGTGAGTTTTTAAACTATCTGCAGCATCTGAAGCAGCAGCAAGAAGGCCTGAGTCACCTAATTAGCATTATAAAGGATGACTTGGAGGACATCAAACTTATAGAACATGGGCTGAACGAGAGCATTCCCATCAGAGGAGGAGTCTTCAGTTGACATGGTGGATGCTGTGGCTGGGCTCACACCAAACATGTTACTCAAGTTCGTGGTTCACCTTCCAAGGCTAAAACTGTTGAGGTAAAATAAAACACATATCTTCAAGGAGCAATGGTATTTTGGCTGTTACCTTTAGAATTAGCAAAGCCTCTTCAAAGCTTTTGAACTTGACCTTTGGAAGGTTTATATTTTATAAAGCTGTATATGCTTTAATAAAAGAAGGAAAACTGAATCTGTTCAGATACTGGTTTACTATAAAACTATATGTACTATTGTACATTTTTTCTTTTTTTTCTCCTTTTTCTACAACAGCATTGTCCTAGAAATGCAGTGCTGAGGGAATTGTTCCACTTGTGACTTGAGTTGTGGAAAGCTTAGCCTGCTTCTCTGTTTTTGTCAAAACAATCAAATAACATCATTATGTAAACAGCTAATTTAAATCATTACAGATATGTATGTTGCTGTAACTATGTCTGTCTCTGCAATACAAGTAGTTTACTGGGGCAAGCTACAGGAAGTTGATGTTTCCAGTTTTGTCATTCCTTTGGACTGCAAGGATCTGAAGGTTATGGTTTATCACTTTACATATGTGAATTATACAAAGCTTTGCTGCCCCGTAAGTAACAACAGAATGTCTAGGCATTGTCTTCTGCCTTTTTTTAATTGCCAGAGAGTAATAAATTCAGTCTGACTTTGTAATAACTTGTGGATGGTGTTGGCTCTTTCTCAGCTACATCAGCAAAGAAGTGAAACTACTAACAACTCCAGGTTAATGCACTTCACTCCCCTCCATGCATGGTGGGTACAGACTATCAAACCCGCTGCCACAGATCTGCTTGGCAGTCTCAGTCTCCAAACTAAAATACAAAGTCACGTCCCTTAGATAGCACCTGGCACCAAGTGTTGCAGAGCAGGTGCCTACTACATGCATCGGAAAGAGCTTTTTTTGTCCCCCATTACAAAAGTCACTGAAAATAAAATACATTACTCTCTGCAATAGGAGTTTGTACAGACAGACAAGACAGAATTGTTTTGTTTGTTAGCCATAAAAAAAATAGATTTCCATTCGTAACATTAAGATAGAAAAATAGTCTCAGTGTGCTAGAGGCTGTATTGTTTATTTGAGAGCATTTACTTCTGGAAATGGTTGCATTATGATTGAAAAAAGTATATGTAGAACTGTAATCAAGGGGGAAAAGGATTAATTTATTTTTGGAAGCATGGTTCCAATTCATAAAATATCTCAAAAGTGCAATATAGGCTCTAGCAGAGGTTCTACTAAGAAATCAAATGAGGCTAAAATTCTCTTTTTCAAGGGCCAGGGTAGCAGTCTAAGTGAAGTCTTTTACCATAGCGCTGCTGCTAGAGTGACTCTGCTGCATGTTCACCATCAATAGGTGTGGGTTTTTTTCTCAAACTCTTCAACCCCCCTCCCTGCTTTTTAAATTGCAATTGTACCATGCTTTGAAAATATTTTGACCAGACTATGCAGCATAGTGACTCTAGCAGCGGGTTACTTGATCTAGTACTGTGGCCTTTGAAAAAGAACTGGTCTCAATAGATTTCTTAAAAAAGCCTCCCTGCTAGAGACTGTTTTGCGTGTTTGAGATATAGTCTTTTTTTCAAAATGTTTCTCCAGTGCACATATTTTGTAGCCTCAAACAACAAACTTATCACAGCAAAGGGACAACAGAGGGGAAGTAGGTACTATCACGCTAACAGAGTCGACAAACAAGATAAGGCATGAACAGCCCAGAAACAAACATCTAGAAAAAACTGTTTATTAAGTGGAAAGCTGTGCTCTAGCACTTTCTGCCAGCTTACAACACTGCCTACAAGAAATACCTTTCCTTCCATTTTACTACACTTGAATAGACCTGTAACATTTCATCACATGCATTGACAAGATCAACTAAGTTGTATCTTCCCTTTGAGGAAGAATTTCTACTTCAAATACAGCTCCTTTTTAAAACCGGTCAGAACTGAAGTGCAGCTTATCTATTTTACCTGTTACCTTCCCCATGTGGATCACAGCTGTTGGCTACGGCAGTCACTGTTTTCAACCAACAAGTGCTACAGGTACCTGCCTTCCCTTTCCCTGCTTCGCATCTGCAGGCATGCTCTGTGGTTAGGAAGGAAGTGATCCCTCTGGCTTCACAGACAGTCAAGGCATTGGACGTGGCAACCCTCACCAGCTTCTCGCTACTGGGACTGTTTGACAAGGCGGAAGGCTTCTAGGAACTCATTGAAGTCGATGTTTCCGTCCTTATTGAAATCAATGCTGCGAACTAAGTCATTGATGCCATCCTCTGTGAGTTCAATGTTCATGTGAGAGCTGAACAGCTTCCAGGTTTGATGGAATTCCTCAAATGAGATGAGACCTGTGGAGAAGGAAGGCACAGCCACCTCAGCACAAGGCCACCTCTCAGCATGCAAGGAGGGACCCCCGCACACGTTTGATCTCTCATCCCACCCCTGCTGCCTGCACACCCTAAAGTAAGGAAAGAAATCACTCATAATCTTAATTTCACGTGCTGCAACTAAATTTCCTAGCATGCAGAACAGTGGCTAAGTCACAGCTTAAAGCAGTAAGGAGACATAATCTGGGAGAACAAAAGGCAGCAAAGACTTGTATTTTCTCTTTCCAGAAGTAGTATTGTGGACATGACTGCTTGAAAGCAGATCCCAGGTACGCTACATTACTGTCATTGTTCTCGTCTCAATTTTTGTTCTGCTAAACTCCTCCAGAAAAAATAGTTACTAGTTCTCTATGTAGACTGCATCATCTTTGTGGAAACTTACAATGACGTTTCAGAAGAAGGCAATAACCCCAATTGAGGGAGAAGACCCAGACTTTAAACCATTAAATAAAAATGCCTTTGTACGTACTAAAGGGAGTGCAAAAGTAGAATGGAACACAATGCAGTAACCGACATCCCCCGCACACCTGCTTACCTGAATGATCTCTGTCTATGATCCTGAATATGGTCTCCAAGTTGGATCTGTTTCGATAGATGACTTCCAGCAAGCTCGACTGGATGTGCTGAAAGACAACATTGTCAAAGTCCTACCCTTTCTGACACTGTGCTTTCTCTGAGCAGTTACTGCAGACCTTCCCATAAATAAAAATGTTTACTGCTCTCAAGAGTTTGCCAGCAATGCATTTTGCATCATGTGTGACTTATGAAACAGGTTTGTGGTGACTGGACGCTCTGTGCAGCTCTGCATTAGAAACAATGAAATGATGATATGCTGTAAACAGCTTTTCGAGGCCAATAGAGAAGACAATGATTTGGGCTATGTTTTTTAACGACTGCAGAGTTGGTTTTGCTGGGTATAATTAAATCTGTGACTGAGAGAATGGAATATAGTTTTTCTGCTGAAAAGCCTGCATTCAAAACTACCTCTAGGTATTGATTGCACATGCATCATCTGTTTCTGCAATGGACTGAGCCCCGCTGGACTACGTGAACTCATGCAGGCTTTTCCATTGACTTCAGTGTGATTTTGGGTTGCACAGGAACCAGAACCACCTACTCTCCTTTTGTACCATACTTGGTTCCACGTGCTGGGGATCTTGTGAGCTGCTTTGCATCATGATTTGTTGGAAGAGGATGAGTCCTCACCTCTTGGCTCCGCTGCTCCATGGCCAAGTCGTCCAGCCAGGACTTGTACTCCAGCATGCCGTCCGCCGTGCTGCGCACCAGCTGCGGTCTCAGCATTCGCCAGGGCAATCCCAGGTGCAAGACTGACTCCACTGCCGTTGCCCAGTTGCTCAGCGTGATCCTTCCTGTAAAGAACAGGGAGAGCCATAGAGACCAGCAGCTGAAAGCACATGAAGGCAAAGTCAAAAGCCTAGAGCTGTATGCATACCCAGGCTGCCATGCTGCTGACAGCAACAGTGTCGTTTATCCATGGTACACTTGAGCACTTTGGTACAGGAAAAAAAACTACATGGCCATAGAGACATCAGCCACTGCAGGAAGAAGTGTGCTCACTGCTCTCCCCAGCCTCAGCAAGCTTTTGGTCCTTGCAATAAATCAGGGCCGTGGGGCTGCAAACATCTGAATGGGAAACACTAACTTTGAACATTTCAGAGTAAATTTGTGAACTATGGCCACAGCCTGCAGATCATGGCCTGCAGAACTGCACTGGTACTTCCTCAGGGATCCAGGAACATGGAAAAGCCCCTAATGTAGCAGCTGCTGTAACAGCTGAACAGGACTTTTGTGAATTATTTTGCTGCCAGGGCAGAAAGCAGGAAACCAGTTCTACCCACAAGAAAGCAGTTCTGCCAACCACTGTGTCCCTTTTCTCCCCGGGCCCACACATGGACAGATCTCAGCAACATGTTTCAGTCACTGCACCAGCAGAGCACTCCTGGCAGCCAGAGAATTATGAACTCTCAGCTCCTTCCTTAAGGCTTGGCAGAGGGAGCTGCCACAGAGGACATCCCTCACTTTCCTCTCCCAAGTGATTTTAGGCACCAGGGATGAAGGGGCTCTAGAGACCATCCAGCCCTTCCCAACAGACAGGTGACAAACACGTTCCAGGTCATCTTTTCCAACGTTTCATCGGTACTCCTATTCCAAAGGGTTCTCCTAGTACCAAGCCTATATTGCTACACATCAGGCTAATCACACCTCTTGCTTCTCCAACACCTCCTTGTTATAATGCCACTCTGAGGCATTAACGGGTTTTCCAACAGAGACACTGAATACAGCAAATGAGACCAGTGCTGTATCAAGGTCTGACAGCTTCCCCCTGTGACAGTCACCGACAGCTATCAGCATGGAGCTTCCCAACCAGTGACACACTCAGCTTAGCTGCTGCAATCCTGTCCTACCAGGGAATTAACCTGAGTGTCCCTCAGCTCAGATTTACCCGTATTGTCCTTATCGTAGGCCTTGAACGCGCTGATGAGGGCTGAGGTGTGAGCAAAGAGCTTTTCCCGCAAGGCTCGAAAGGCTGACTCCTCTACTCTGCTGATTCTGGAGGATGCAGAAAAGAGAGAAGCACATTAAGAACTTGCCACAAAGCACAAGAGAAGCTGCATCTTCCCAGTCCTCTGGCCTGTCCATGGATTGCCCAGACCCTTGCACAACTGCTCTGCACAGCTACAGCTGCATCTCAGTGCTGGTGACAAGGCGCTGCATGCCTAGAGCAGAGTTCTCTGCAGCTAATGTGATGAATTACTAAATCAATTTGTGAAGTAACAAAGCAGAAGGGAACCTCAGCAAGGGTCAAAAGGTAAAACTTGACATTGAAAAGAGAAGCTGGAAAATCAGCAGTCTGTAGTGCTATTCTTTAGTAAATCAAGCTGTGAACGTTCAGGTCCAGAGTTAAATTTTCTCAAATCTCACAAAGTTTTCCCTTTTGGAATTTTGACTTGGTGAATACAGAGCAACTGGAAAGCCTTGCCTTTGGGTCATTGTGAGAGTATGGGCTGTCTTGTTCGCTTGGTACTGAACAAAATGGGGGACGAGGTCCGGTCCCAGCTTGACGTAGGCTCCCCTGTTGCTGCCAATCTCATAGTAGTTTGAGGCTGAAAATATGGTCAGCACCTAACCCCCAGAAGAGAGAGGCATTTACAGTCAATACATACATACACGCATATCTGTGAAAAGAACAACACAACTGATCCCATCTGGAGTCAACAGACTGTGGAAGCACCATGTGTTAGGTGGAACAGGAAGAGAGAGGTGGCAGCTGGCCTAGAAGACTTACAGGTGTGAACTCCTGAAGGGCAGCACTGGGCTCTGGATCTGGCCACACACTGGGCATTCTGTGATTTCACTGTACTCTCCCAACAAACTTCCACTCTCCACTGCAGTGAGCAGAGTCAAAAGTGCCCTTGTTCAAGTACTTAAGTGACCCTGAATCTTGTGAGAGCAAAAGTTTGCTGCAGCAACTTTGTAACACCCTTTAGCACGTCATCTTCAGAAACAGCTGCATTAAGCAGGGGCAATGGCACAAATGGGTTCAGATCTTTTCTCAGTTACCATCTGCAAGGATGCGCTTTGCCTGCACAACAGATGCCCCCAACAGAGTAGGTGGCTCCAGACTGTCCTGACCTAAGAACTCAGCTGGGAACACAAATCAGTAACTCCCAATAAAGCTGTTCAACAATTTTGTGTGTACTTAACAAAGCTCTATTGGAAGAAATACAGATCTGAGACAAGCCACCACAGCATCCCCACCCTGCCAGGATAGAAACCCAAGCATCCTTCACACCATGCGCCTCACCGACCTTCCGGTTGTGACAGAACTCGTAACCCTCTTGCTTGCACTCATGGGAGCGGATGAGGAACTGCAAGTTGTACTTCTCAAGGATCTTCCCTGTCACATCAGGCCCAAAGTAGCAGCCACCACCTCGCACCGTATTTACTCTGCAGCCATCCTGAGGCATGGGGTCACTCCAGAGAATGTCTAAAATCTGAAAGGATTGGAAAAGTTTATTGAATAAAGTGTACCCAGCAAACATCACCCACTAAAGTTTACTAAGCGAACACAGCTCCGTCTCTGAATCCCTCCCTGGACTGCTGCTATTACCACAGGGTAGGGAAACAGATGTTTCCGCCATCCCAGCTGAGCTACCATACTGCTCCATAGGACTGTCACAGACCTGGTCCACCATGGACGTGACAATATTGTTGGCCTGGAGCTAGAGGCACATCCAAAGTGCCTGGGGGTGTCCATAAATCACACCTATTACAAGGCTGCCTCCATCCCAAAACGCAGGTCCCAGGGCAAGAACACCCAACAGATCTCAAGGCCATGAGCAGGCTTAGTAATAAACTCCTTTTCTCTCTAGCCAGGACATTCTGCAGCCTCCAGTAATGTAAGTACCGACTCAGTAACCACTATTTGGATTAAAGTTTAATCTCTTTAACCCTGACCTCAATATACAGCTTTATGCTGATAAGGTGTGCAGTGCCAGGATGTCATATGCAATGTGAAGTAAGTAATGATGGTTTCAGAGCGCACAGAAGGGACTTACAGACAGCGTGGTCTAAGACAAACAGTAAACCAAGTTCCCAGGTTCTGATCTGCCTAGCCATCTACTCGCAGTGCAGCCCAGCTAAAACTGCAGATGCAGTCTGCTTTTAGCACCAAAGATCACAACTCACTCATCACCAAATGATGTGCTTGTTCATTACCTACAGAGCTGACTTCAGATACCCCACGTACACTGAGCTCTACAGTCTTGCCTATTATTCCTCTCCCCTGAAGTGACTCAAGGAAACCTGTCACCCCACTTTATGCCGGAGCAGCAGTTTTATTTATACAACGGATGAGTGTGGCACTAGGGGCAAACGCTGGGACAGAGCCTTGAGCACAGAAAGCCAAAGGCCCGGTTAAGAGGCTGACTCGCGAGGGTAGGAGAAAGGCACCAGCAGAACAGCAGCCAGCACCAGTCCCACACACAGCCTGCATTCTCCTGTGTGATTCTCATGCACGGCTCTTCAGTTCCCAGGGAACTGGGCCTCAGCCTGGGCTGGATGTAGTGCAGATATCTAACAAAACATCCCCAACCAGCAGAGATCACATGCTCACAGCACAGCCCTTCCCAACCACTTGCCATTGAATAATCAATGCCAGGCTCTCTCGGGGAGCGGAGCAAGGGTACAAAAGAGCACAAACTGCATTAGCCTGCCCGCTGGCATTTCCACACTGAGTTGCTCCTTAACTCCACTATACAAAGCAGCAAAAATCTCTGCAGAAAGGTCTGTGCACTGACCCACATATTTTATACTGAGATTTCTCATAACAGAACAAACCTGCAGGACACACCCACAGCCCATTGAGCTCAGGGCCCTGCTTAAACTACTCACCTGCTTCCACTCCTCCTGGCGAGTCCAGCAAGGCCCATCCAAATCCGTCAAGGAGACCATGCTGGAATAGGTGAGCTCCTCCTCCTCCGACTCGCTGATGTCCACCAGCCGGCGGCACCACTCAATTTGCTCCTGCACCGTCTGCCGGACCCATCTGGAGAACTCCAGCTTGTTGGCCATGCTGGGAGCCTGGGTTGGCCGGGGCTGCGGACATAAACTGAGGGCTGCCTCGTTCCCTGCTGGGTCAGCCTCTGCTTTGCTCTCCCCATTTATTTCCTGTATTTCCACATTTCTATTCGACTCCTTTCTTTTCTTTCCTCTTAAGACAGAAATAAACTGAAAGAGTTAGAAGAGAAAAGAGAGATTGTCATCCCGCTTGGAAACCTACATCTCCAGTTCTAATATCTTCTCCTGGCAGACTGTCAAGTGACCCAAACCGCCAAGCCTCAATTCCCTTTGGTGCCATGAAATGCTGATTAATTGTGTGAGATTATTAGTGCTGTCCTCTCAGATGTGCCATTCCTAGTTTATAGCTGGAGCCCCATATCAATCCTGACTACAGGTCTGTCTCTTCTTCATTGCCTCTATGCTGCTAGATGTTTCACAAAAGATGGAGTACATGGATTTAACTTGCAACAGGAACTAGGCAGCAGAATGAGGAAAGGATTAATGGCTAATGCAAGTGCTTGTCATTACATTTAGAGAAGGGAAATAGTATTTCTCAGCTTGAGGTGAGGCAGAGGCAAGTTAAATGACTTAACAAAATCCTTCCGGAAATGTAGGGGGAAAAACAGGCTAAGGAACTGTGGGACAAAGTCTCATCATCACTGTGTTTTTACAGTCAGCACCAGCACATCTGTTTACCCATGCCATTACCATGATCCATACATCCTCCAGAAGCCAAGAATGCTTCTTCCCTGCACACACATTCTTAAACCAAAGTGATCCACTCCAAGCCTGTACCTAAACGTGATTTGTCTAGGAAGACCATCCATTTGATTTGTCTTGTCAACAGCCAAGCTGATGTATAGAAAAAAAGCTCCTCACCACAAATCAGCAACACTGTTGTCTCTTGCAATATCTAGGAAATAAAACCTACTTTGTTTCTTTGAATTTTCTCAAGCATGTCCAGGTCAGTGGTGTCAGAGATGCCCCCATGTATTATGAGGACTTTCTGATCAATCAGGGTGGCCAGGGGCAGCCAGCAGAAGACATTCTGAATCATCTTCAAGATTTTCTTCCCATGGACCTAGGAAGACAGGTCAGAAGGGAAAAGATGAAGCACCAAGCCTTCAAAGTCCATATCTCAGATAGTAAAGGAGACACAAACGTCTGCCTACCTTGTATTTCTGCATTACTTCCTTGGTGAAACCGTAGCTAAAGGAACAGGAGAAAGGAAGCTCAGTGATTTTGCAGCAACCCCCTTGACATTGCGATCAGCCCCACCTAGAACCCGTACCGTAAATTGACCATGTGGTCCTCATGGTTCCCACGGTTGAGGTGAACCTCCTTTGGATAGATCAAGAGGAAGGTAAAGAGGATGATGAGGATCTCGAGGGACTGTTTGCCTCTGTCTACGAAGTCCCCGTTGAACACGTAGGACTTGGAAGGGGAAGGAAGGCCATTCTGTAAAAGCAAGGAACAGGTGGATGTTACAAGAGAGGCCTTCCCCATGAGCTCCGTATATCTCCCCTCCCCACCTGCACTTTCTCTCACTCCTGACCCAGGTTACCTTGTACAGTAGATCCTGACTCTTATTTTTATCCTGTGCAGGCTTCCAGTGGCAAATGCACCAAGAAGTGAAAGCTGGCAATCAGGAAGGGTAGCCAGTGGTAACAGCATTTACAAAAATGTCCACCGATACTTCCCAAATGTCCATATATATCAGATTTCAAAGTCAACAAGGGAATAAACTGCTGCTTTGTGAAGCCATTTAAAACTGATCAAGTTGACCTGGAGAATTGCATGCGAAGGGCCCAATTTTGCAAACACTTTTCAGCATGACCCACATGGTACCTCTCACAATGCCTGGCCAGCCTCCCTCTCCAAATACAGTGCCTACCTTATAAAATATGAGGAACAAGTCATCCAGCTGGCCGTGCAGGTCTCCTAACAGGCATAAAAAGACAAGTCACAGTATGTTTACCTTTAACTTAAAAAGACATCAGTAAATAACTTCCTATGAAGTATCTCTATAAATTAATGACCATTGCAATATTTTGTGAAGTTCAGGGTACAAGTTTCCTTGCACCAAATCAATGTGCCTGAAGGAAAAGGACATGATGTAAAGGCTTGAACTGAAGCCTGAGAAAGACAGCGAAAAACGTATACCAGATTCTGAAGACTGATTCAGCAGCTTTGTTCATTTCTCTTATGATGACGCATCATGGCACAAGAAACTGTTTGACTTTGATCATTACAGAGGAGAAAGCTTTGCATACAATATAGTAATCAAACTAAATTCTCATTTAACATGTTACTGGAGAGAGAGATTGGTTTTCCAGAAGCTGACTGCATAAAAAGTCTGTGCTAAGTATATATTTTTCAGGAATATCTCAAAGTTTAAACACCAGTCCTAGAATAGGAAAATAATGGTGAAAAGCTTTGTGTCTTTCAAATTTACTTGATAGGACTCAAAGACATGTTAGTATTCTGGATCTGAATGCATACACTGCTGCTAATGAAAACAGCCAAAACAGCTCCAGGACTTGGTTGTTTAAATAATCCCAGGCCACAGAACAGGACAGGAGATGACTGGGTTTTGAGGCCAGTCCTCAACTGGGTGCAGTTTCTGTGGTTTACTGAAACATCTCCAAGTTTGGGGTGACAGAACAGAGACAAATTCGAATCGAGTTGAAAAATTCTTTAAAACATATAACATATACCAATTTTAAGACCGCAAGCTATCTTTACCACCCTTCATCTTCCCTTATACATATTCTTTTATTTTCTGTTCATACCTCCTCCTCTCCTTCCATTTTTGTAATCGCTGTGACAGCACCACTGCTACAGCAGGCTATGCAAGCTGAATGCTACCATCTAGGAGCAGGGTTTGTTAATAATGTATCCCAAAACCTCTCATGGAAGCCACACAGACTACAAACAGACAAACCACCTTCCCTCAACACCTCTATCCTGTTCCAGACCAAGCAGAAATAGAGCCATGATGCAGACATGCTCCCTCCAGTCTTCAGGCTAGTCTTTGCAGCAGCTCAAATACAGCATTGTAGGGTAAACCTGGATATTTTAGACAGCCCAGCTGCTTCTCAGTGCAACATGTTTTGCTTATGGACTGTGTTTGTGTTCCATGCTCACTACAGAGGAAGGTATCATGCTTACACTACCATTTTATATCGTTCCTATCCCTTCCACATGAGCGTTCTGCCCCAGAGACCGTACAGTGCCCTCCCATCCAGACCTACCGCACACGGTGACCTCCTCGCTATAGCAGGTGGAGACATGACTGATGTTTGGCAACTGCTTGAGGTGCTTCCTGGTCTCATGCAGAAGGTTTAAGACATAGCGAGCGTGGAGCTGCTACTAGGAGAAAGTGAAGGGATTAAAGCAGGAAATCAGTGACCTCTGAGCAGCAACGCAGCTGTCTGCAAAGGCCCAAGGACCCACCACGATAGCCTGGATGGGAGAAACTCCCTGGGACAACACTCAGTGCTGACCTACAGGCTTACAAACAAGATGAGGAAAATGCTGTACAACAACGGGACAGGAGAGACTCACTCAAAGCAGCCCAGCCTGGCACTGGCAGGGCTCGCAAGAGAACCCAAAAGCCCTAGCACCCGGTGGTCAAGGCTTTATCCGCTAGGCAATACCACCTCCTAAAGTAGCAGAAATTCCAGCCCAGTATCACAGGTAAGAAGCTGCTCTTCTAGATCTTTCTTAGACTGTTCCATATTAAAACAGGCTACAAGCTGCCACGTGTCCTGCAGAAATATATTCGCTCAAAGCCAGGGTGTAGGCATTTGATCGTAGTCAAGACACTAGAGACCTTTGTTTTAGAAGTCATTTTGTTTGGAGAACAGATGTTTTGGCCTGTTTTGCAGTTCAGCACCTTGACTGAGGGATGGCAGCAGAACACTGCAATTGTAGGAGGACTTGTCTGGTTGGTGCTGCTGAACTGGCACTTGACTTCCTCATCAAAACCCCACATTTTAAATATGATTTAAAGTTGCATGGCACGAAACATAATGTTAATCAGCTGTTTGTATCTGGGCCATCCTATACTTTTTTTTTTCAAACTGAGCAATTGCAACAAAAAATGACAGAATGTTTCGACGTACTGTTGTGGGGTTTTTTCTTTTTTAAATTCAATTCAGCTTAATATTGGCACACACCTATGAAAAGTTTTCAGTTTTGTCAGAACTGCATTTTTAGGAAGGAAAAAAGTTCCTATGGCAGGAGGAAATATCACATCATTTCCATCCCCTTTTGTGTAACAGCCTGCCAGCTTGTTGTACTCCAATCAGCTTAGCTTGTTAGGATGGCTAAAAACAAATTATCTGTTCTACATCCCTGCGCCAAGAAAGGGAAAGCATGGTTCCTTTTGGGATCCTTACTTGTTTCTGTTTGAAAGCTTCCAGCAAGGCAGTCGCGTGGTCAGGAAGGAGTGGGAAAGAGAGATGGGGACCAGTGTAGGAGTCTGGCACCTCCATGGATTCATAGTCACAGTATTTTTCCAGCTCTGCCTCTTTGAAGCTTTCTCCACTTATGAACATGCGACTGATAAAATCCCCTGGATGGCAGATTAAAAAAGAGAGACAAGAAAAAGTTAATTTGGCTCAATGCACCATTCTACTAATTTGCTAAAGAAAAGCTGCTTCGTTAGGCTCGAGCAATGGCAGTGGCGGTGTCTAGCTCCTAGTTTCACATCGCTACAGATTTTTGCAGTGGGGTAAAGGCTGCAGGGACAAGTTTCCATGTGCTATGTCAGGCAGTGCTGGCAGCTACGCTGGTTTCTGCAAAACTCTCGGAGAGCCAGTTGGACATTGGTTGCCATGACTAATTGTAATCTTACTTTCAATGACATGCAAAAGCAAACTGTATAATAAGGAACTGTCTCCTACACCCCACTGTTTTTTCTAAGCTTGCACCCGCGTTCTCAGTGTTGCACAAAATGTGTATAAATATGCATTATTTTTTTCTTGCTGTAATATCTCAGAGCCCAACTTAAGGAACAGGACATTGTTGTCCTGTTTTATAGAGACACTGAAAAAAAAAAAAAAAATCTTCCTCGACAGAGCTTTGCTGTAAAATACGTGGGGTAGTTGTGAGGAAAAGGGTAGCAGTTTGAAAGGAAGGAGCGAGGGCTTCAGCAGGTTGTGGTCAGCAAAGTAAATAGTTATTTTTGACATACTACCATCAGATTTCAAAGCTAAACTCATTAGCAAGTTCCCAGCACTAAGAAATAACATATAATACTCTGCAGATTCAGGAAGATATTTATTGGTTCCCCACCAATTATAAGTGAGAGACTAAATACAAATAAAGTAGATACCCTAGAGCACAGTCCCCTAAAGATGGATTCTTTCACTTCAGAAATGGACTCTGCGAAGCTGTGGTTATCTGGGATCACTGAAAAAAAAGGCACATTTCTAATACTGCTCTTAGGAAACATACTGAACTTTTATTCCCCCTTCCAGCTCTTAAAGAGCAGGAATTGCCCAATATCCCTTGCACAACTCTGACCGTCTCCAGACAATTCCCTCCCTATCCAAATTCCTGATGCCATCGCTCTTTAGACTCTCTTGGCCCCCTTTGCCATCCTGAAGGGCCAGCATTGGGCAATGAATCAATACAGGGTGCAACCTTCTGAGTTGCTGGTGCCACATCTACAAAAGGCACATAGAAACTTACTCTCTTTACTGCTGCTTGGCGTGAAGTGGTCCATGAGGTAACTGAAGAAGTTGTGAAGCTGCAAGAAGAGAGCCCATTATCATTCACTCTGGAATGAAATTCTGCAGAGTGGCAACTTAAGGTGATTTTCTTTCTGGAAGTATTATTGTGCCCTTCTCATGTTGTCTGGTTCGTACAACAAATCATACCATACCAATTCTAGTTTTAAATATCTTGTGATGAAGTCAAAAAAGTAGCTTTACCTTCAGCCATACAGACAGAATTACATCTATAAGCCCTTCCTCTCCCTGCCTGACAGCAAGGCAACCATATAAAAGAATATTAATAAAAGTTAAACAAACCAACTAGGCTTGCCTATTGTGTTCAGACTCAGGAAAAACAGTATTAAATGGTCCTTATGGTTTTATTTTATGACTCATTACCTGAGTTTCCATCAGACATAAGCAGGCAGGAAATCAATAGGCTAAAAAGGGGCGGGAAACCCAGTCCTTGGCCCACCAAAGCACTTAACAGCATTACTAGCCAGAAACAAGTGAGTCTGTGGCACAGAAACCACCCTTCTATGTATTTTCTTACATACTGTTTTCCTTGGCACCTTACCTTGATCTGATCCTGCTCGCAAGCATACTCAATGGACTGAAAAATTCTCCAGGTGCAACGTCGGCGCATTTCCAGCCGAGCAACATGGCGCCGATACCACCGCTGGATCAAGACGGCTGCCTTGAAAGCTAGAGGACAGAACCAGAACCAACATGCTGAGCTGCTGTGGCTGCAGCTGAGGTACCCTGCCACCACTCCCTTCCCAACCCTGAAAATTGAAGAGGGACTTCAGGAAAGGTGCTTTGATGCCTAAATACTACAGATAACAAAACACTTCTTTTCACCAGGAGGCTGATCTGACCCTGCCTGACCAGAGACCTCTGAAGCAATTCTAAACCATCACTGCTGGCTCCTCAGCGCTGACATTAACAACAAATTATTAAGGCCTAAAAATCCAAACACATTCTTCAGTATTAATAGGCAATTTCCTTCCTTTCTGTCTACCTTGATCACTTTCATGTCTGTCTTACAGTCTAGGTACTGGGGCCTCGGTAAGCCAGAGATTTGACTGAGGCCAGACGAGGTAGCTGTGGGAAAACGAGACACCGAGTCCTCTTCCAGACCCTTAAAAATATGGGGTTTGTCTACCTTCCTCTAAGCCAAATAAATACAACAGCTTTTGCAGTTCTAGACAAACTTCAGAAGGGATCCATTCTAGCATAAATGCTAACATACCATTACCCTGTAATAAAATAAAGACAAAATTAACAGTGAAAAGAGGGAGACAGATTTTTGGCCACTTAATGACACAGAAGGAACAAAATGCCAGGAATTTGCAGGTGCCTGGTCGTGTTTCAGTCCAAAGCCAGCACTGCCACCAGGCTCTTCTCTCCAAGTGATGGAGGGAAGATCTTTAAAACATAACCATCGATCTTTACAACATAACCATTCCTCTGTATTTCCCCAATTCCAGCGTTTTTCATTAAAAGATTATTTCAGACAGGGAGTGTCCGTATTTAAAATGAAGTACATTGGTGCAGTTTCCTGTTTTCTTCAAGTTCTGCCACAGAACTTTATGTACCTCTAGAAAGTCTTCCACCCTCCTTTGCTGGTCTTGACCCCGTTTGGGCCAACTGGTTACTTCACAGCACTTTCCCAACCAGCTCTGCTACTTCGCATCTCTCTTTTCATTATGCTCTGTGTCCCGTCCTGTTCATTTCTGGACCCCTACCCTAGAGCCCTACATTTAAAACATTTTCTAACAATGCTTCTCTGTGTCATATTTAGCTAAGAGAGGGATGACCACTTTATCTACAGGCTGGCCCCAAAATTAAATGGAGACCGCAGAGTTCGAGTTACTCCTGCTGCAGAAGCTTGTGTTCCCTTGGCATCTGGTTTGTGAGAGAGCACTGCTGCATTCACCAAAACAGGGAGAGCAAGGAAGGGTGTGGGGTGGAAAACCCCTATTAAAAAGAAGGAAATCCCCCACCCCTGCCCCAAAGGCTGCTAAGTGCTAGCAAGAGACAAAGAGATCACATTAATTCAATTAGCTTGCATTAATTATATAACATAAACCACCCTCCGTATACTTCAGCAGGAAACACTGACCTTTAGCTAAAGAAGATCTCCTGATGGCTTACACATTGAAAATAATAATCCTTCTAAATTATTTTACTGTTACAGAACTAGGAGCTGCAGAGCACAAAAAGTGAAGAGCTGTTGCAGTTGTGAAGCTGGGGAACGGAGTCATGGTGAAGTCACGGGCAAGAAGGTAAGACTTGGGTAGCCTTAATTCAAAAATAACATGTATTTTTGCCTGAGCCTTGTGTCTTGTTGAGCAAATGCTTACTGAGCTGCTGGGCTATGAAAAAATAAGAGGCTGATTTTTTTGCCTGCATTTTGGAGGTCCTGATGCTACCTCTTCAAGCCTCCTTTGTAACAGACCCAAAACTAGTTGCCTTACTCCCTGTACAGTAATTTGTCTGGCATGTAACCAGAATCACAGTCACAATCACTCTCTTAAAATAAACAACTTCAAAACATCTTGCATTCCCCTAGGAGTGGATAAATGCCCGGTTACTGCAGTAGGAGTCAGATGTATTTCAACTGAATCCCAAGCAGAAATTCGTAGTTATGAGTCCACATATACCAATGAAAACTAGATCCTTTGAAACATGAAAAATAAAATCCATGAAAGACTCGTTATCAAGCACACAGTGAGCATATATACTGCCATCCACAGTGTTTTAAGTTCCAGATGGGCAAGGCATTGTTACTTTTACAGAGACTGACTCTGCAACTGAAAGAGCCAGGTATTCCAATTTACCAGCTTACCTGGGTGAGTTTCATCTGACAATGTTTGTATTAGTTTAGAAAAAAATAATAAAAAAGGAAGAGAAAGAGATTGATCCACCTTTTATGAGGACCCAAACAGTAAACTCAATCATACGTCCTGATAAGAGCTACTGAAAGTGGCAGCACTCAAACCAAAATATGGCTGTTCATGGTAGCAGTATAGTTCACAAATCAGCTTACAGGAGGGCAGCAGCATCCTCTCTTGGGTTCCCCATCCCCTTCTTCACTCAAGCACAGGGCCAGTCTAACAGGGCTCTGCTGGCTACACTTTCCATAGGGAGCAGCCTCTGGGCCTTGTACAAGAGGGACAGGACACCACCTGGCATGTTACACTTGAGTGGAAAGTCCTAAGCAGCAGCACATCTGCAGATCAGCAGATCTGAAGGATTCTGAGAACCAGATGCAAGAGATTTTGAGAGGTTTTACTGTCATGGGAAACTGTTGATGAGGTATCAGATTTAATGCAAAGTTTCAAATAAGTAACTAGTTTTATGTTATACTTTGTTATAGACAAGCAATTGTCATAAAATAGCCCTGAACTTTTTGGGAAAGTCCATGGTTCTCTGGTCCTATAGGCAATAGTCAAGTCTAACTTACTTTAAAAAAAAAAAAAAAAAAGGGGGAGTTTTTCAAACAAAGAAAATTTACAAACAAAAAAGGCGAAGTCACAATGGTGTCCCTGCTTTCTTCATTTCTAAATGCAATCACTATTTTTCCTTTCAAAGCACTTGCAAACAGTTTGCACCATGTGGCTGTTCTGCCAGTGCTCATGACTGAATGATTCAAACAACAAAGTCATCTGTTTACTTTTTCACACTTCCTTATGTGTAAAGTCTCACTCAAACTCCCTTTGCTCCATAGCAGACCTAGGCACACACCCAGAAAACGGCTACTATCATATGGAGGGTTTCATATAAACAACTCATTACAGCTTTGAGAGCCATAAAAAAGTCTAGATTATTAGCAGAGATTAAGAGCATTGCGCTGACATAGGACATTGCATAATTAGAAAAAAAAAAACACACTTTTTGCTTTTATGCTTTTCTTAGCCACACCATCTTACCTTCTTTAGAACCAAAGTTATTTTGGCTTTGTTAATGCTTCTGCTTTATCAGCCCTGTGCCGCTAACAGAGTCGTTGAAAAGAGTCCACCAGAAGCTGCAGGGTGGACTATCTCGCTGCCAGCACAGGACAACACACACATTAGCCAGAAATCAATTAATCCATCATATCTCAGAACTAACAGAATTGCTGATGTTTCTGGTCAGGTTTTGATTGATTTTAATCTAATACTGATATAAATAACCGTTGTTTTTTCAAGCCTGTTAGTCTTGTGACTGACAGCTGAGACTCCTGGTCCCAGGCTACTGAAACACCTAACCTTGCCTCAATACTATCAAAAACCCCAGATAACTCAAAAAAGAAACACATCCACTGCAACCTCCCAACACCATGTGCAGGGGCAGGCAGGAAAGGATTACTTTTTAAAGAATCACTCACCGTTTTCAGACTTCTGCAGGGAGTACTTGTAGTTGGCATTTACAGAACTACCAGATCCCATGTTGTCCAACCAATGCTCCTGGAATATTGGAGACTGGCCCAATATCACCACAATCGTGAGAAGGATGCAGGAAAGACCATTCAGTCAGAACCAAAACAGCTGCGACATGTCCCACAGTGCTGAGAATCTATAATTAAATATATTAACACTTAAGATGAAGGAGCAGATGGCCTGTCTTATGCCCAAGTACATCTTCCACTACCAATTTTTTCCAGCAACTTTGTTGTCTTCTAGACAATCTGAGATGAGGAATTTTGTCTCACTGTTTCAAATTTCAAGTCAGTTATATGAATAGGAATCATTTCAGCCGCTTCCTCATGCATAGCTGAGGCACCTGGATGGAGGTACTAAAATACTGCACGACTGCCGTCGTACACTGTATAGAAAAAACAAGTTTTTCAATACCGATCAGGAACCATAAAAGTTACTAAGTTGATTCCTTAACATCCATACGGAGGGATGGTCTAGTATTAGTGTGCCCTAGGAGCACCTGCAGAGAGCAAGCACAGACACCACCACCTACCTGTTTATCTTATCGTGAACCATCTTGTCAACAGGTCTCTCCCAAGCAATTCCTGGAGCTACAAACTTTTTCACTTCCTTACCCTCAGATTTTTCTGCGGGCCACAGCCTGAGCAAAGGAGTACATCGCAGTAAACCAGAGACTCCAATGGAATCAAACCTTTTTCAAGGGTGGGAGGAGGGAGGAAGAAACAGATCCAGCCCAAACTGCTCAGCACCTCTGATCCTTCCTCGCCCACCCAAGTGACATGCACCCCTCCCCTTCCTAAAATCCTGTAGCCAAGAAAAAGAAGAGGAACAGGGGCCCATAAAGACACAGCTTGGAAGACTTGAAGTTCAACAGCATCATCATTTCAGATACAGGCCGTATTAAACAACCAGGTGAGACAAACTGATGCAGCTAGGAGGCAGCCAGCTACAGACTGCTCCTTTCTCATTTTGCTCTTGGCCACCATTCACCTCCTGCAAAGACGTTTACATTTTCTCAGGGGCAGCTAAAAGGCCTCCAAACCAGGCTTTCCCCACACCTTCTGTGAAGCTGCAACACACTCATCATATGAAGCTCCCCCCTTATATATGCTGCTGCGTAGAGCATCTGCTAGCAAACATGCACACTAAGTAAAGCAAGGTGATAAAACCCACTGTATGCACTTAAGCCAGGGCAGAACTAAACCACCACCAGAAAAAGCGTAGACTCAAGAGACATACATGGACGTGGAGAACTACCAGAACAAAGTTCAGTGCCTCAGCAGATCACAGACATGTAGAAAAGATGCATATTCCCTGATCACCAAAGTTAGCGTCCTAAAGGCAGGAGAAATACGTAACAGCCAGACTCCACATGTACCTCCCAAGCCAACAGGTAACATACTCATTTTTGCAACTCTTAAAACACAAGCTGGAGAACTTGCACAAATCCATTTGTGTCAACTACCCCAAAATAACAACAAAAGCCTAGGTAAATTTCCTGGCTTACCATAAATATTATTTTAACTCATTCAAAACCAAAGCAAGTGACAGTGTTATGAATCAAGTCCTAGACACTCTGTTGCATCACTGAGCTTGTCCACATTACAGATCCATGCAGAATTTGGTGCTCCACTCAAGTGAATCAAAAGTTTCCTGCAAGGAACACCGAAGCTAACATGAAGGTAACAACAGGACTCCTAGGAAAGATGACACACTTCACCTATCACAAGCACAACTGGATTCCCACTAACATGACAATTTTACAGACATTTGGACTGGGTACATCTCGTAGCTGGAAACAAGATGGTGAAGTTCATTTTATTTTACACATGCATGGTCCTCTGCATGGTTACTGCAATGCCAGATAGAAGAATCGCAAATAAAAAACTCCCAACTGCAGTTTTATTCAGGTTGGCATATAAAAAGGATACTTCACCTCAAACTATGGGTACTGAGTAACTACTTCCAAACACAAAATATTGCTACAAAGAAATAAAAAGAAAAAATGCAACTTGCAACTTACCTTGCCACCAATTTCTAATTTACGTGTTTATCAAGACAAACACAATAGAAGCTCTCCACTCTTCTATTTAGTACCCAAAGCAATCAATAATCTCTGAAGTGATTTGCTGGATTACAGCTTCAGAAACTCCTCCTCAGAATCCAAATAATCAAGTAAGCTGTTCCCTTGGGCAGGCAGCAGAACGTGCCATGTCTTTCAGCACCCGCGGTATAGAATGTGCGCCCTGTACTGCAGCAAGCGCAGCCCCTTCAATTTATTTTACTGCAGTTGTTCTGAGCAGCCTTCCGAATCCTCTCCCATGTGATGCTTAAGAAAGCCTACAGATCTGAAATGGATTAGGATTACTGAAGAGGATTATGAGTAAGAAATACAGTATGATGGCCTCTCTCAGCTTAAGAGTCAGCTCTTACACATTTTCACATTGCCTTTCGCTAAATGCAAATGTCTGGAGGAAAAAGAATTAAAGGTTTCACCAGTTTCCTATGTTGGGCTGAAAAACCTTTTGGGCTTTGGAGCCAGGGAATCCATACTGCAGAAATGAAAGGATGGAAGAAACAATGATAATGTATTTAACCTAGTTCTATTTAACTACTTAACAATTCTGAATCATGAATCTGACTGGACTTGAGAAAGCAGAAAAGCTATTTTACTTCCAGTTCTCTAAAAGTAGACACGGAAAGCAGATGAAATCTCAAACAGAAGGACAATCAGCAAGCAATTCAAACAACTACAAATGATACTTTTGAAAAACTAACAAGATTCCACAAAACACCCCAACCCTCCAAAACCAATCAGCGCTATATTTACACTTTAATGTTTTCAGCATTGTTAAGATGGTTTTATTTAGAATATTAACAGTCCTGTCTCTCCATATTTTTATCAAACGTCAATTCTTATGCAAAAGTAGCTCAACACATTTCACAGGTTAAATCATCAGTTAGTAAGAGGTGTCATTTACCACTTCCTTAGTGCTTATGTTTCTAGGTTGTCATTAAACTAAGACCAGAAAGTTATGTATCCTTTTGGTTAGAAAAAAAAAGGATTCAAGTATTCAAGTTGGCATAAGGGCTTTATTTTGTTGGCAATCAGGATGTCCGAATACTTATAAACAGATGAAATGCAAGGCTTTAAGAAAATATTTAGAAGAAAAAGAGCAAAATAAAATAGAAAAAAACCTGAAATAAAATAGACTTCTTCAAATCTAGTTTCCTTTCTTGTATCGGAAAACCCCACGTTTCCATGATCTGCTCTGTGGTTGGGCCCAAGGAAGTTCCCGACACCTGATAAGACACGAACACGACAGAAGCAGACAACCGTTTCCTGAATATTCATGGATACCACTATTTATCCAATCCATACCTGTTTCTACACATTGAAACTACTACATTTGATTACATTTATATATACCCCTGAGAATGTGGGCACACCACTGCCAGAAGATAATCAGCCTAACACAGCTGAGGTCAAGACAACTGTGAAGTTACACCTGTAAGGATACTTTTGTCTTTACTTGTGGGTGACCGTTACATAAAGAAAATCTACTGGGATCAGGAGACATTGCCTGCTCTGTGAACTACAGCAACGTAATTATGAAATCTCAAAGATACCGTGACTGCTGTCATTTATATCTTCCTCCGGGAGCTCTCAGTTTTTCAGATTTATCATTCCGGCACACTACTGCTAACATTGTACAAAGTGGGTCAAGGGAAAGCTTGCAGCGTATTTATCCAGGCAGAAGTAGAGGATGCAGGTAAGTAGGTTATGACACTCAGCCAGACTCAGCACAAGGAGATAAAGGGCCCACAGCTCCGTGAGGCTCTCTCAGGAACAGTTTGCATAACCGGTGCACAAATACCACAGGCAACACTGCACGTACCTGGACACGGTGCTCTGACCTAATGCTCTGATCACACCTTCTTCTCCCAGGTAAAATTCTCACTGGTATTAGCAGGAATTGTGTCCAATGAAGAACAGGACCTCTAAGCTTTATGTGAAGGGATCCACCGGTCTTGACTCTTTCAGTCCTTTGTATTTCTGGGGTGCCCCCAAGAAGTGCCCAAATTCAGTGAAGAGTCATAGCACAACCCAAAAAAGAAAAAAAAAAAAAACAAACCACCCCTCTACACTACAGAAATTAGCTATAAACTTTCTGTTGAAGGCAACTTTCAAATATAAAAAAGGAAAACTATCCCTTTCCTAACCTCCCTGCTACCCCATCACAAGCTTCTCTCATCTGTTGGGGGGGAAAAAAATCTCTATCATCACACCTCCTAAACCAGCTCCTGATTTCTGATGAATAAAATCAGCAGTCTACAGCTATGTGTGCAGCTAACTGCTGCATCGCATCCTACGAGACCCATAATCACTAGCCCTTTGCAGAGCAGGCAAAAGGATGATGACACATTATGAGAAACGTCACAGGTCTTCACAAATCAAGCTACCAGCTGCATATTTGTATTTAATTCTATTCAGACCTACAGGCCACGCAAAATGTATGAATTTTTTATTTATTAGTCAGCACATAAGTACATTCAAGTTGCACAACTCTTTCCAAAAACAGTAAAAGCAATTTTTAGCCACCAACATTTGCTAGAATGTCAATGTAATTCCAATAAAATCAATCAAACTTGCATTACAGTTCATTAATGGTATGATCTGCAACACTTCAAAGAATTAACAAGTCATTATTTCCTGAAAGGTTCACATAATTAATAAGCCAAAACAACAGTACTGCTTGTGAGAGTTATTTTAAAAGCACATGCTGGTCTTGGAAACCTTCAGCTTTTCACTCATTTTGTCTGTTGAAATAAAAAAAAATAATAGATAAATTAAGACAGCATAGGTTTGTATAGAATTAAGAAAGAAACAAACTCTTCAGATTCTCTAAAAGAAGGGAATAACTCTTGCTGAAATGAAACATCCAATGTAACTGCTACAAATATAATAATAGTAGCATTTTAAAAACACTATTGAAAATGGAACACAGCTTGTTGCGCTCCTGCCAAGACCATGCAACCAGAGTTTCTTAGAATAGAAATGAATGTAACTTAATATCTTTCTCTGAACACATTCAGACTACCATGTGAGGCACCTTATGACTTCAAGCATCTGGACTTTTTCTGCAAGTTCACAGGACAAAACCCTCAAAGGATGCTCATGTTCAGTCTCCTGTGCACAGCTGTTGCAAATTAAGCTTGATCTTTCTAAGTGCCAAGCACACCACCCCCTCCTGCCAGGATTCAGTTCACTCTGGTGGCGCTTCTTCTCACAGTCAACTACCCAGAGACACATGAAATGTATTGCAATAGCGGGACTGGTAGAAATAATAGCTAAAATGTTCACAGAGGGAACCTCTACCTTTAGGTCACAACACCACCCCCACCTTCCTCTCTGATAAAGCACTCTTCCTGGGATAATCTCCAAGGGTTTTGCAAAGAAAGCCAATACTTAACTCTATCTCTAAATCAACAAGGGAAGGTATTTACCCAAGGTCAATAAGCAAACCAAGGAGAGAATCAGGAATTCAGACTAGGTCACTTAAGTGCTCTGTCCCTCAATGACTCTTCAGCTGAAACTTTTATTGAAGTACAAGCAGCTCAGAGTACCAGCACGCTACTTACACCTCTTCACTTCACAGTTCTGATCCATGTCTGGTACTTATCTGGTAGCGCAGCGCTCATTACTGTGGTATACACTGTGTTACTGGTAGGGAGAGAGGAAAAGAGTGAGTCAGTGGCAGTCCAAAGGCAAGAAGATTAATTTATAAAACTAGCAAAGCAGCAGAACAAATTTTAGTGGAAACAAATGTTCTGCTTAAGTACAGAAGGGTTAGAAAAAGTGAGAAAGAGACTCAAAAACGCAGGCTGGTGGCACAAATTTTTAGTATTTTTTTCCACTTAGTACAGCAAAGGAACTGTAACTTCAACATACGTTTGATCACTGTATTAAAAAAAAATAGTCTTCCTAATCTTAGCAGTGACACAGATATAATCTTCTCCTTTCCAAATTTCCTCACATTTATAAAATAGAGGAGAGGCAGTCGTGGTATTAACTTTGAAGAAGCTGTTGCCAAGCTCTAATGTAAATGACTGATGCAGGGAATATACTGAGCTTCATATAAAAGTAAAACAGAACAGGATAACCTGCAAAGGCGCAATATGCGGAAGACTGCAGAACAATAATGGTATACTGAAAGAAATCTCTCTTTAAAAGCCAGGAAATGGTACCTAAAAGCCATGTCCCCATTTACTAATCTTTTTTTTTCCTTTTTAAGCATCAATCAGAGCTACATCAGAAACTCCAGAAAAAGCCATTTTCAGTGTTAACACAAGTCCAAAGATTCCAAATGTGAAAGGCACAAATGACTCAACAGAAGGTCCTGCTGCTCCTCTAAGTAGTCACTTGTTTCACTACTACAAAGGAACTTCCCATTACTGGATTGAGCATAACAACGAGTAGTTTCTTGGCCAGAGTGGCAGACCAAAGGGGAAAGGTGCTGTGGAATTGAAAATAGTGTGTCAAGTGCACAAGCAGAAATCTAATCTGGGAAACCACAAGATATTCAGACAGATGCATAGGAAGATCCTAAGAAAGTGTGTGATTGACTGAAGTGGCCTGAGGCATGGCGGGAAGCACTGATTAACATCTCTCCATCTAATACTTACTTGTTTAAGACTGGCTTCACTGACAACACCTGTACAGAAAGTTTGAAGAGTTGTCATTTTGGTAAATGAAGAGGGAATTAAAAGGCTATTTAGAAACAGCAGTAGGATGAAGTTATGAAAAGGAATAAAGCAAAGTCAGGGATTCCTCTTGCTGGTGGTTTTGTTTTTTTAAAACATCAGACCATATTACAAAAACGTTTTTTAAAAGCCCACTGAAATATGCAACATTTAAGTTCTCAAAACTAACTGGTAAATGTCACTCATATCTAACACTTTACCTGCTTGCTGTAATATTTATAATTGTGCTTGAAATCATGAATGGAACAAAGACCATGCTGATGGGATTAATCTCTTTCACTTCCACTTGGATTGGCAGATTTTTACCAAATGCCAGTGCAAGAGAGTTCAGAAAAATTTTAACAAAAAAAACTTATCAGTCTTAAACTCTTCAGACATGACTGTGCCATGTACCTTTTAAACCATGCCTTCCTTGCACAGCTTTTAAATGTCTGACAAAAATGCAACTGCATTTCTGCTTTGAAAAAGAATTTTAAGTCAAAGCCTGCTTGCCACAATGCAGAATTTAAAAGGAATACCTTAAAGAGTGTGTCAAAATTGATGTTCTGCTGGCCAGTAGCATTGAGAGCCTTGATGGCTGGAGTTCTGCAGGAAAACAATGCAGTGTTATTAAACACACTTTAGTGTTCCAAATGCTACAAAGCACCGATGTGAAAAATTTCTCACTAAATGTCTTTGCATTAAAATGCTTACTTTGACCTAAAATAATCCAGAGTTCTGCATGCCTTAATCTAGTCTCACGTTGCTGATACAACTCTATTATTGCACCACTGGGTACGGACCAAGAGGGAATCCCCCAAAAGCTTTTTTTGCATACTACACAGCCTAAAGATTGTATGATGATTATGAGCACCTTCCTAGTGCCATCAAATATTTTTCACTGTGAATCTAATTCCTTTAACTTTTACTAAACTTTGCTTTATCCTTGCAATTTCTCATCTTTTATGCCATTCAGTGCCACAAAGACTTTCATCTGGTATATGTGAATATTGCTCCTTATCTTATCTGTTCTCTTTTGCGTGGCATTACAGAAACTGAACAAGGTGCCTGCTCAATGAGCTAGCACCTGTTCAGAGAAGAAAACACCCAAGTCTCCCAGCTTTTTTAAAATAAAAGTGTTATCTCACCAGAGAACTCCAAACTAAATTTACCTTCGATCGTCAAAAGGAGGAGGGGTAGTCCAATGGTCATAGTTTGTCTCCACACGGAACCACCTATAACACAACACACAAACACAAATGCAAACAAAAAGCAAATCAGTAGGTAATTAATAAAGGCCCAGAATCAGTGCCTCTGTATTGCCAAAAGCAAAAAAAAAAAACCCACCCAACTCCCTCAAAAGCCTCTTTCTTGCATCTTTTACAAGCCCAAGGGATCCTGTGTTGACATACATGGCAGCCTTTACCGTCAACTACTGAACACAAACGAAAAACAAGCAATCTCTGAACTCCTGCTGGCATCAGTGACAAAACTACTACTGACTACAATAAAAGCAAGATCAGACCTCTAAAGACATTATGAGAAAAAAGATTATAGGAATGTGTACGATGCAGCCCACAGCATTCAGTCTGAAGTACGCAGAGCCACAACCCATCTCGGTGTTGCCAAGCCAGTACTTACTGGCTGACTTTACACATTAAGTGCTGTTTTTCACCACAGGGCAACTATTTAGGATTTCCTTCATATATAAAGCATCCTTCATATATTAAGCATCTGATTTCACAAAAATAGGAACAGTTATTTTTGAGCCTTCAACCCTTCTACCACATTGGGTCAAAACTAATTTGGAATTGCTGAATTTACTGGTGCAATACTTGGCAGACAGACAGGAAGAGTCTTGTCTCCTTTGGAATCTGACTGAAAAATAAACACATACAGATGCTTTTTCCACCTTGACCCTCTTGACTACCCCAGCCTGACAAGTGATTCCTTCTCAAAGAGAAGGAACTGGGGTTCCTTTCAGAGGCTTTCACACTTTCCCTGTCCAGCTGTAAGAATTAGTAAGAGAAACCCTGGATCTTTCAAGAATGGAGTGTCACTAACCCTGCCTATCACTTGGGAGGGAATATGAAAAAAACAAAATACATCATTTTTTTATACTTACGCTCCACCTAAAGGATCAAGGGGCCAGAGATCTGCTGGCCCTCTTCTATTCCTTGTTATGACCATGCCTTCTTTGGGCGATACACCTCCTACAATATAGTAAACTTCAGCAATGATGGGAGTGCCAGCTAGTCTGAGAACAGCTGACTGAAAGTCCTCTGCTCTGCTCAGGGTCTAATGCAAAAAGGAGATCACAGTGAAACAAAGATCACAGAGCATCATCAAACACAAAACAAGCACTGGGACATCTTAAAAAGAAGAAAAGGTCCAGCTTTTTTTAAAAATGACAATTGACTGTAAAGGGCTACTTGCACATATTTCTCTGAAAATAGTTTTCCAAATTGACTAGGATACGAACATAAAATACATATGACTAGTATATGAACTCATTAATCCTAGTTTTGCAAATATCCAAAGAAAACAGTAAATATACATACACATAATACATGCACATACATACACATATCTATACGGTGAAAAATTAAAAAAGCTGAAAAATCTGCTGTTGAAATGACAGACATGTCTGTACTCGGCAAATTCAGTCCTCAGCAAATTTTTCCCATGTGAACAATGGGATAGACCAAAGTGGATGAAAGGTGGGGAAAAAAACCACCCTGTATCTTTGTCTTGCCAGTGCTTTAAGAGGATTTAGGTGACAATGGTGAATAAGGCAGAGGAATTGCTTACAGCAATGTGACTGTGACAGGTGACTAACTTAGTATAAACTGACAGTTCCACTGCAGCCAATGAAGCTACTATTTTCAGGCACAGGGCCACAACCCACTGAAGTACGTCTTTAAAAATCAATGCTGTGCAGGAACCAATAACAAATATGGAGAACATGCACCAAACAAAATTGTTCAGAAAGATGAGGAAAGCTCTGGAAAACAATTAATTATTTCTGATAGCAACATGGCAGCCAGTAGTTTTGAGTCACAGACTCAAGTCACATCTCAAACTCAAAAAAAATATGAACAACAAAGTATCCAGAAGACATTCCAGTTCTGCAGGGAGTTTACCTACAAACCATATAATTCATGTTTACTGTAATTCAAGAATCTGAGAAGCAGCAGACCTGCTTTATCTTAGTAGTACCCTAAAATAATATTCATAAAATGTGCTATACAAAACGCCGATCTAATTCCTTCCACTCACCAGTGATCTCTGCATTTTTAATATGGTAACATATCAAATAGAGTTTAAAATAACCACTGGGTCAGATACTGACCATCTAAGAGTGCAGCTGCCTCAATTTGTTTAATTACAAATCACAGCTAACTGAAATAGTCCCTAGTAAGGAAGTCATTGCACAGCTTCTCAAAGGCTTTTGGCATTGATTAGAGATTGCCTCCACGAAGGACTGGAACTGCCTCTCTCATACACATCACTGATGATCTGGGGACAATACCTACCTCTCCTCTTAGGAAATGCATTTACTTATCAATTTATTGACTTTTCTGTGAAACTAAAAGTTGGAACATCAAATTTACTAGGAGTTTTTGAGTGCAAATTACATCACTGTGAAATAGGAGAAAATAACTCAGTGCACTTACGTCTCGGACAAGCCAGCTGACAGGGTAATTCCGATTCAGAAAAGCAGCTATTGCATTTTCCCACCATCTACCACCCTCTGGAAAAAAAAAAAAAAAAAAAAAAAAAAAAAAAAAAAAAAAAACATAAGTGTTACATAAATTTTGAGAAA